CCCGGGATTTTATAAATGTAGGGGTAGTTCTTAAGGCGAAGTCAACATTACCGTGAATCTCCAAGCGCTCAGTATAAAATGCGTTACCTTGCAGCTGGAAACTTCCGCGACCCAGCTGTCGGTGTCGAAGCTTGACTAGCGGTAGAACTAAGCCCGAGACTCTATAAGCCTCAAACCTTGACCTCAATGACCAGAACCCCAAACACTGTACAAACAAAATCTCTTTGCTATCCTACCGCACCAGGATGAATGACAAGCCTTAATGTGGATCGTGCCACTCGCAAGAGACGTCTGTGAATCTATGACCAGAACAAACATGAACAAACGCGTACGGTGCTGCATTTGCTTGGATCACGTTACAGCCAGCTGTCACCAGGGAATTGAGTTCCGAGCTGTATCATCGAAGAAGAAAGCTATGCGAATGACCTCAGCCAGTGGAACCGCATTTCACATCAAAGGTGGTCACAAGTACAATGCATGGAGGAATAGACGGCGTCAGTATAGCCGACCTTCGAAATTGCATCTAGAAAGTTTACAGGGCAGAATCGCCGTTGTGAATAACATCAAACATCTGGCGCAAACTCTGCAGATTGAAGTCCACACTTGAGCGCTCGCCTTTGCTTTAAAAGGGCCCATCCCAGCCTGAGCCCGAACTGCACCTAAGCCTGAATCTGTACAGCGGCCTGAGACTGCACGGCTCCTGCATCCTAGATCTATGTTTGGAAATGAGTCTTCGCTGACGACGCAGAGACCTTGAGATCAGAACAGCGTAGCACGCTACTAGGTTGCCATGCCTTCAACAAAATTGCGATTAACGACGATGCAAAAGGTTTGGATCCCAATTTCTGTTGCCCATCCTAGCTACATACATGGAAGCCATCTACTCTCTGGGCTTTTTAAGCAGCTTCTCCAGGCGAGGGGCTGTGAGTATGTTGTCCAGCTTCGCGCCGACGCCCACTGTCTTCGCAAATGCTTCCTCCACCGGCTTTTCAGGTCTGAAACTTATTCAGCAGCCCAAACTCATTCTATGCCTCAAGCGCGAAACTGTTCACTCTAGACCTATTCAGAAGCCATGACTATACGCCACAAATCTGAAAGCTCCAAATCCTAAACATGCGTTGTTGGCTGCATATTAATATGCTGGCTGACCAGAATTAAAACACAAGAGCTGAAGGATGAGATTCGATGCTACTCAGTTAGAACCGCGTTTCTTCCGTAGGCATTGGACCGGGAAGCTCGTCGGAAATCACGTGAAGGCCTATGGATCACGATAGAGTCTGCGAAGTGCTTGATGGATACTTGCTGTGATTCTTGGGGCCCGTGCAACGCGGATACTTTGGGGTGTATGCAGGGGCCCCGGTGCTGATGAAAATGCTGCTATGACTGGAACTTCAGGAAACCTTGCCACTGAGATCTACTGCGGTGTATGTGGTGAAAGCATGTCAGTCAAGGGAAGAAGTCCTGTCAAAAGAGGTTGCACCGTGCACATTCTGAGCACACGCCCATGCTCCCTTCTGTGTTGGGCGATGCTTGCAACTTATGGAATGTGCAATTGTCACTTCAATCTTCAGTAATCCCAGTCCTCGTAACCTTTGATCGCCTGCTCCTGTCAGGCCAAGATTCATCTGAGCTCTGGCTAGAAGCAAAGGGTTCAGGTTCAGGTGTTGGGGGTTAAAGGAGAGCTGTGGCCATGAGTGGGTGCAGCAGCCTCAGGCGAAGATCTACAAGTTGTGCAGAACGGTACAATAGCAGACATCGTGTAGCCGTTGAGGCATGAAAGAGGACAGTGTCTGCTGCAATGCACCAACCAAAAATTCCCATGCTTGGCGCGCTCGTTTGACACGCTTTTGGCATAGGCCTCATGCATAGGGAAAGACAATGTTAGCCATCTGTTGTACTGGCCTTGGACTCTGTTGGTTTGCTCTTGGCCTCAGTTAGACATTGTTCACTTTGAATCCCATGAATGAATAGGCTGCATCTAGTAGGTGGCGGCGGCGGTGTTGGTGGTGGTGCTGGTGGGGTGGTGGTGGCGGTGGTGGCGTGGTGGGGGTGGTGGTGGTGGTGGTGGTGGCGGTGGCGGCGGCGGCGGTGGCGGTTTAAGATGTGGCGAGCAAGGATGACATCAAGCCTCAGATTCTAGCCTTTGCAAAGAAGTGCACATGTTCCCACCTGCTAGTGCTAGTAAGTCCTGCAGAAGAAGCCGTCTCGCAAATCCCATAGGCAAAAGAAAACGAGAGGACACCTTTCCCAGCCTTGTCCCCAATGCGATTGAAGAAGTTTGCTTTGGCCAGGAGTGCGTCACGAATCCTGTGTGGTGAGCTCGAGGCAAATCAAATCCAGGAGTTATGGGTGTCGGCTTGGGGTGGATGAGTCGAGTCAACGCGACTGTGGAATTTCTATAGCTGCCTGAAGACCTCACAAGCATGACAAGCTTGCATGCCGTAGCTGTGAGGCGCATTGAGGTGCCACGATGACGCCAACTCAATTGCAACAGCACCGTCTTTGATCAAGACATGGGTGCAGACTGGTCCAAAGCGAGGAATCCCGAGTGCCTTCTGTGTGTACCCATTGCTCTTTCTACTTGACCGGCTCTGTCAGCAAAACACTGACTGCAAGCGGCTCCCAGTCAGCTAACGTAAGCATACGGTTCGGTGTTCAAGTAGTGCTTCTCTTGCCCATGTTCACCCTCCCAGCCGTCACATCCCAAAGCCACCAGCCCCGCGTTTGAGCACCTTCAAATATGAACTCAAACTCTCGAACCTACATGATTCTTCCTAACCAGTTCTCCAAAACCTTCAAAGAAAGCAAGTCTCCGTTTTCGTAGGCCCAGATGTCTGAGGACCTTACTCAATATCGCCCAAGTTCTCCTTGGCGTCCTTTATCTTTTCCTCGAGCTTTGCCTTGGGATTCATGGTACATGTGATGAGGCCGAACAAGCGCAGGAGCGCGCGTTGGCAGCGTGAGTTACACCTTTCCCGAGATGAAAAGATAGCAAGTAAGATACAGGGGAAGATCTTTACCTACATAGTTGTTCCTTCTTCACTTGACATTTAGACTCTAATATTTCCAAGGAACCAATGTATATACACACAACAAAGACCCAAACCTGCCGACTACAAGTCTCACAATGGAAGCCAAGAATGCCGAGGATCTCAAAATTCCTAACTACTGTTTGTGAACAAAGTTTTTGCGGAACATGAAGTCTAAAGCCAGAAGCCCAAATCCTAATCTCTGAACCCTGTCCTCTAGGAAACATCAGCACTGTAGGCCCTGTAGGCGACTTGCTGGTGCTGAAGGGGAGTGTGGAAGTGGAAACAGGTATTATTTCTGGGGTATATATGGTGGATTATATAAGCCTTATATTATCATATTGATCCACTCAGCCACTCCCCCTTAAGCACCAGTTAGGCGAGGGTTGGGGCTGCAGCTTGCTCCTCTTCATTCTGCTTCTGGAGCTGAGCCTGGTACGGTTTCGGTTTCCTCTCGTTTTTGGTAGTGTTCATGAATAGGGGGACCCCAATTTTGTGCCCAAAGTACTATAAGCCTATGATTGGGACCCCCAAAATGGTATCCTACAAGCAGAACCATGAAGTTTTCGGATACAGACGAGGACGCCTGGTTTGAAAACTACTGTCACTGTAGATGGAGCCGCGCGAGGACCGTACCTCGTACCTAAAATTACCTAGAATGGTGGGTTTGGAGGTTTTGGGTTGGAATGTTGGGAGGCTTCAGGTCTAGGGGTTTGCAAGTAGGAGCTTTGGGCAAAAAGCTTTAGGAGCTCTGGCCAAGGCGTTCCTTTCGGTTCAAAACGGAGAGGTTTAAGTGAGACTCACGAGCTCAGCCAAAGCCTGGCAAAATTTGCATGGAACATCTTAATTTCACGGCTCCCCCGCTTCTTCCCCAGAAGATACCGAGACCTTGTAAATAGGACAGCCCCTAGAACCCATAGTGGAGACCCTCTGAGCGTCGGGCGCTGACAAGTTGCTTAGGACAAGGAACATAGTCAGACTTGCAGAATGACATCGAATGAAACCCCCAATACCAAAGTATTGCACAAAGCGGACATGAAGGCAGCCGTGGTCACTGGGGTGTTTTGGGCTAAAACCAAGCAGTAATCGATCAACGGCAACCTGGCCCTGGCAAGTCAAGCCATCAAATCTGTACGCCTTTCAACTGAATCTTGGATTAAGGTTTGATAGATTCAAAAAACTCTGAGCTGCCCCATGACAACCTAATCCCAAATCCCCAAAGCCTAGATATTTGCCCTAACTCCGAAACCACCAACTAACTCCTAAACCACCAAGCCCCCCGTCCTTTGAAACAAGTGGATCAGGCCTTCAAGGCCTCATCTGGCGGGCCCACAACTCCCGGGCCTGGATTTGGCAGCTTAAGATGTATAGGGTTTTCTTCAGGCGCTAGGGTTTTTCAGGTTCAGGCTCTGAGCATTGAAGCGGCTATGGTTTAGGATTAGGGTGCAGTGTAGATTTACCAAGATTATGAGCCTATGTTCGAGGACTCTTTGGGGTTCAATGTAGGTGGCGTGGGTTCCAAATGTGGGCTATGTAGGGTTTAGAGCTCAGGCTTCAAGATCTTTGCTCACGCTTAAGGCCTGAGGGGCTTAGGGAGGCAGGGTTTGGGCTGTGTGAGTGCAGCTGTCTAGGGCTTTTCCAGAAGTATGAGTAACGAGAGAACTTCAGGTGCGAAGGTGGTGGGACTTAAAGGTTTAGGCCTGAAACTGCCCCAAGGCGATCCCAAAGTTAGCCCTCCGGGTTCTGGAGTGCTGTTGCAACCTAGCAAGCGCTATTGTCAGTACTACTACGCATCACGCAACAAACCCCAATCGCGTTTTACAAATGGTATCGGGCACATAGAACCTCAGAATCTTATGCCCTCCGGGTCCTAATACATGGAACCTTTAGGGGAACTTCTGAGCAATACAGGTTCTAGGCAGAGATAAGAATGATAGAGGAAGCATTTTGCAGGAGTTGTCACACCATTCACTTGTGACATTTAGGCTGCCAGTGAGACTCAGAGTTCACTAGTTCATGACTACGCTGGGCTTGCATGTTGTCTACAACAGCCGGAATTCATATGGTAGCTTCAAAAAAGGTTGCTTCAAGAAACTAATGGCGTGATGGACTTCAAACGCATTTGCTGATGGAAGGGTGCCCGAGAGAACCAATGAAAGATCTACGCGCGTGTGTGTTTTTGACTCTTGTTGGAGCTATGGAATTACAGGCAGATTTGCCCTGGCAGCTGCAAGCAAAATCTGCCGTGAGCTGAGGTGGCGTGCAGAGGTATTTCTCGTAGTAGGGGAGCATTCCTGCCAGAAAGCAGAGAGTAGCAGATCACAAGGCTTGCTTGCTAGGATAGAAGAATTGCTGCGTTTAGGACTTCTTCCTGACATTCCGAGGGATCAAGAGCTGACATAGCATCACTGGAAAATTTGGCTGTCGGAACAGTTGAAACACTTCTGCATCATCAAATGAGACCAGAAAGCTGCAGGTGTTGTGACCCTTGGCATCCTCGAGCATATGGGGAGCCGAGGCTACAGTTGATGGAAATCCTCTTAGAAAAAATATAGTAAATATAGTAATGCTAGTGTTAAAAAACTGGAAATTCTAGTAACAATAGTGCTATATATAGATATAAATGCATGTTTCCAGCTCCACTCAAGGACCGCACGTGCGAGGCTTTCAGATCGCTGGGGTCAGCCGTCAATACTCACTTCAAGTCTTGCACTGTAACCCACCAAACCCTTCCAGGAAGAATGATGTCGCAAATGCTCTGGCAAGAACCATAACAATGCCCGAGCATTGTCTCTCAAACCTTTTGGTTTTTGGCAGGTTCCCGCATCCAGTATCCTGATCTCCAAAACCTGAACCCCAATTTGAGAAACTCCACTCATGTTCTACAGGAACTGCGACAGCGATGTGACCCTGAGGCACTTGCCATCACCCTAATTACTAATACATCGCCTCGATTAGGACAATAAATCAATGAGACGATCACTGTTGCCTTTCTTACTGTTCCATTTCACGTCATTCGGTTGCAGTTCCCCACACTGCGGTTATTTATTCTTCTACGGTTACCATTAATATCATTACTTCTGTTATTCGCATCCCCCTGCAGGCGCCTTTCTCACGGACTGTGGCGAGCATCTCTGAGCGAATGCGCTCACCTTGGGTTTAAACGGACAAACCGCGATTTCAAGGACTCAAGGATAGTTGACACCAGACTGGATAATGATTGTTAAAGAATCTGGCCTCAATAGCACGACTGTGAAGCACAAAAACATGATGAAAGCAAGGCTTTCGCATGCCGTAGCAGAATAGGAGGAAAAATCAATAAGTGGCCGTCGGGAGAATTTGCACAAGAAAGCTGCTTTCGAACAGAGGCAACTGTGGTAGATGATCATCTCCAATTCTCGTATTCTTTCTTACACCGCCTGTCAGCACCGTCAAGGCTATCGAACGAAGCCTCAGAACCCGGTCTCACAGCTCCTATGGAACCTGCGTCTGTGTCTGTGAGCTTGGAAAAACCCTTGGTCTGGTTGCCATGCAGGTTGCTAGTTACGCAGAAGCGGCATAAGTGACTCGAATCAGTCTAACCTCTGCATTCAAGCATCATAAAGGAGTTCCCTCTTGCAAATCGTGGAAATTGCTGTGCTCAAATCCTCCCAGGCTGCCTCATGCTACACAATTTGGACGTATTCTGATATCTCTCTTCCGGCCATGCTGTGGGCGCAGACGATCTGGGCAGTTTTCGCTCATCAGGTGGGTCCTGTGGCGACATTACATTTTGGGCCCAGGGAGCGCGTCTCTGATGCAATTTGGCAAAACACAGTAACTGGCTGGGGATGCTAATATAGGAGCCTGAAGAATTACATCAAAGTGTTCCGACTATCATCCACTTGTATTGGTATCCCCAGCCAAAGTGACAATGCTTGGGCTGAGAAGACCAAAAACACGACCACCCACGTCCCTTGCCTTCGTTACTAGTCTTATATCCTTGTAATAGTAAGCACCGTGATCGGAATCCTAGGAAGACTTCATCATCCCTATCCCTCCTGAGTCCAAACTCTCGCTCACACCCAGTCTGCTTTCAGCAACCCCTGAAACTTCTGACTCATACCTTGAACTCTGCATCATCGCCAAACCCTGAAGGCCACATGCTGAACCCTCCACCCTTGACATGGCATCAAGTGCTGGATGGCTGCTGAGAAATTCTACAACCTAGACCATCCTACTGCTGACAGCGACACAAACAGGACCCGGTAGTCAAGCCTCAGTATCCTGGGCAGAGTCTCTTAGTAACCTTGCAGAAGCCCACCAACCGACCGTGAACCCTAAACCCAACACCTTGAACCGTGAACCATTCTCCTCTTCTGAGCCAAGGCCATGATGGGGTAAGTCTCCGCCGGTTTCTCTTCCTGCAGTTAACTGACATCCTCCCCGGATGGCTCTTGCATGGTTTCGCGGTTTTGGCTTCATGCCGCTGTAGACGGGCACCATGGAAGGGAGATGATGGGAATAGTCTTCGCAGTTGCTGAATGTAATTCCTAATGTCACTCCTCGCTACCTAGTCTGTACCCTTGTCAATCAAAGCCTGCCAAGCATGATGAATTCAAGCGACACTTTCCCTCACGAAATGCATGGTGAATCCAGCATACATTCAGAAATCACACAGAGAGGTCAGTCGACCAATTGAGCGGGTTGCTCATGCGATACCTACATGCTTGGAACGGCACGTGGTCTGTACATTCCTCAGGCGAACTGGGGATTCGAAATGTCAATACCCACTGAGCAAAAAGAACGCGCATGGCTTGACCATACTTGTTCAGAATTTCCCCCCATTGCTAGCTGGGTGGGCACAAAATTCTTGGAATGTCTCTTGACAGGAGAGTGCACAAAGCACCAGGTAAGGCGCAAATTAATCAAGCTTGCACATGTGTGCAATCGCAAAATGCATCTCGGTATCTCTGTACCAAGCTGGGAACAGTTCGACAATTTCACGAAAGGAGTTGCCATGCGATGTCTGGGGAACATCAGCCTACTTCTGTCGCACGTATGCCTTATGAAGTCCCCTGATGCATGGTGACACCCAATCCTTCCTACAACTTGTCTCTAACTCGAGGTAGCACACCGCTGACGCATAGCCTGTTCAGGGGTAGGCGAGGGTTGGTTGGGAAGCAACTGGCCATCCTCAGCCATGCCGACATCTTCCGCGACTGCGTCATTCGAAGTGGTAGTTGATGATGCCGAGGCCACAGACCGCCACCTGTGGTATTCCTTCTGCCACAGCAAGTAATCCTCGTGGATGGTCTGGCGGGAGGACAGGCGCAAAATTGTATCGTCATGATGCACGCCTGGGGCGCTTGCCTCCAAGTCTTTGGATGCCTGCTTCTTCAAACCATCTTCTCTCTTATCCTTGCCATTGTTTCCAGGGAAAATGAGACGCACGAGAATCTGCATGCTGGACACCAAGACTCCGGAACCCTGTGGAACATAGATCCACGGGTTGAGAGTGCCAATGCCATAGATGGTCCACAAGATGTTGCTGAGAAGCACAACGACGACCAGAGACAGGAGGATGGGAGATGCATCCCGTCGAGAACAGTAAGTGTACAGCCGCATGACTGGACGACAATATGCGACAAATGCTGCCATCGACGCCAAGCTGCCCAACACCTCCTCTCTGGCTGTCACAGGAAAGAGTTCACTGACGACCTCTAAGCCAGCGAGTTCCCACTTGCCCAAGAAGCAGCTCAGGAAAGATATGACAAGGAATCCTCCAACCGTCTGCATCTCCAGCTTTCGCACCATTCTGCTGCGCTGCTCCTTGCTAGCCTCGTGCCAGGCTCCTTCAGCAGGATGGGGGTTCCATGTGCATTTTAGACGGCTACGTGGAAAACGAGGAAATGGAAACTGAAATGGACGCTATAGCAGCTTCCATGCAAGTTCTTATGTTGCTAAAAAAACTCCTTTGCTTCCTAAGTTACTAAGCTTCATTGAGCACTCGAGCTGTGCAATGTAGCCTGAGCGTCACTTCTTGGGTGCTCGCCGTGCAACTGGCAAAATAAAATGACGCATCCAATGTTGTTTTCTTTGATGCAATAAAGCCTTCCATCCTAAACGCTTTTTACACAATGGCGACCAGGATCTGGATGGACTGCGTCGAAAGAAGGCGCCATCCAGGGGCTTGCTCAGCTGGCTGACAGCACCCTCCTCCTGCCTGCATCGTTCACGGGACTAGAACTGACCAAAAAACAGTGTTCTTTCCTGGGGACCTACTTGAATAGTTTTTCCCAAAACATCAATTTGGCTCAAGAATAACATCCAGCTGCGACAGCAATCGGATGGCGCTGGTGATGTTGAACAAGCAAACTACTGCTGGGGGACTCGAGGCCAGAAACACCCAAACGTCTCCAACTTGAACAGCGTACACGGCCCAAATGTAGAAGTTCACGAACAGCAATGGCAACTGCCGCGTGTCAAAGCCGTTCAAGCTTCCAACTGATCTTGCACGGATCATCTCTTTGAAGGGGGCCAATGCCATGCAAATGCTTAACAACGCGCCAACGCAGCCTGTTCCATGGATCAATGCCAATGACTGGG